TGGCAATGAACATAATCTTTTTTACGTAAAATAGTTTGAATGATATTTATCATTGAATTAATCATGCAAATTAATGCGCGTAAATTTTTGAATGACCTTTTTGCACTTAAAAAGTCTCATTCTGGGGTATTAAAAATCTAAAGAGGCAATAGAATATTTTCTTGTATCAAACTTTTTACGACTTAAGTGCTGATCGGTCAAAAGTATCGAGTAGTTTAAAATAATGAAAGAAAAAGTTGGGGTCAGTGATGTAAATTTTGAAATATTGGTCAAAATGTGCGATTTTCCGGCAAAAAAATGTGTAAATTTTATCTTGACTTCTTTAATATATCTTCATTTCTTGGCAAAGTTTGTTGAGCGAAGGTGTAAATTTTGTTATAAAAATATAAATTGAGACCTATATTTAATATTCCAGGCATATCATAATGGAAAATATTCTCTGAGTAAAAGTATGTGAGGCTAAAGTTCCAAGATATTAAATTTAATAACTGTGTAAATTTGCAGCATTTTCTGCTTAATATCCTTCCACCACAAGAAATAGTCCCTTATAAATCTTGCTTCTTTATCAATTTTTGAGCAGTTTTTTAATTGAATGTTGAACATTTTACATTGTTTAACTTGAATATGTTATAAAGGTTGAATTGTAATAAATAGTTTTTAAGTAAGAGGTTCTGACTGAACTTTTCTAAAAGGCTGAGGAGTGACATACCTTAAAGTCTTGCATTTTTTTCCTGAGAGCTAATTCTATTTTCCTCTGCCTATAAATAATAGTTTCTAACCCTTTCTTCCGTCTTCTCCATCTTAAAAATTGTTGTACATGTAACACTTTTTTTCATAGCACTGTCAAATTCGTTGTGGGCAGGAGATAGATCTGACAACAGAATGAAATCATAGTCGGAGAAATGCAGTATAGCTGTGACTTGAATCCCTGTCAATACTGACTGTGTGACTCGACGCATTTAGAGACGTACAGATAACGTACCTCAAGACGTACTTATAAAGCTGGGTTTTTCCAGTTTAGGGGAGGGGTGATTGGAGTTTTCCAGCCTGTGTACTAGGTTAACCTCCCTATCCTACCCCAGGGAAGGACTTGGTGGGGTTTTCCAGGGTGTGTTCTAGGTTTACCTCCCTATCCCATAGGAAATTAGTGCACTCCCCTGACCTCCCCAAGCGGGGCTCCTTCCACTTCTAACAACTAATTATGTTATATCTATATCCGAAATATGAAAGTTAAATTCTGTCATTTGCGTGAAGAGAAATCTGGCGTACTCTGGCCTTGTATTTTACTTAGGCTTACTAGGACTTAATGCCCCTACAACAAATCTACCTTTTTAACTATTGTATTCAAACCAGATCCTTAGACTTCAGCTGAATTTAATCTTTACTTTTTTAAATATACTGATAAGCAACATCCTATTTTAGGGGGAAATATTATATATAGGATATAATTTTGTATCTAAAAAGTAAGGACATCTTCAGCTTTGTAAAAATCGGTAATTTAACGGTTGAATGATTTTCATACCATAACCAGAAGTTAAGTTTGAGTCCGCTTAACAGAAATAAAAAATTGCATGTTTAACAAAATATTTGGCATTAATATGGGGTTTTAAGAATTTGTATCTGTTCATCATAAGTAATGAAGCAATGTTACGAAAAATAAATTCTCTTTTCTTTTCCGATAGCGATGCCAAGGCTTCCTCAAAATGACTTAAGTACGAATTTCCATTGCTCTAGCAGGAAAATCTCAAAAAAAGGTGATGGAGAGTTGCAGATGCAAATATGCAACACATCACGCCTCAACAGGCTCTTACGTATCATTAGCATGAATGACAGTCTTTGGACCGGAAGTCTGAGGGTTACTGCACTGCGCTTGGCTAGAGAAAATTCGACCTCATGATCTGAAAAACAGGCATTTAAAAATGGCAAAGAATATTTCTTTCGCTCAGATCTCGAGATTGATGAACCAACTGCATCGTAGAAATCAAGCTGCAACTGTTGTACATGGCAGTCTTGCACGCTGTAATTGAATGGCCGGGGTGGAGGGTGTTTTAACATTTATGTTTTACTTTCCAAAGTTAAAATACTATAATTTAACATTTTTATCAAATCTCTGATGTTTATAAATCGAGTTTTACCTTACTGTATTCATTTTTGAAAATCATTAGATATGAAATTCAAATATTTGTAGATTACCGCTTGTTGCGTTTCAGTATATATGCATAAAATAGGTTTAGCTGTTAACTTTTTTTTAGGGCACCTGAGTCACTCAGGTGACCTATTGCTATCTGTTTTCGTCCGTCGTCGTTCGTCGTCAATCGGTCGTAAACTTTTGAACATTTTTAGCTTCTTCTCTGGAACCCGAACCAATTTCAACCAAATTGGGCATATAGCATCTATGCGTGAAGGGGAGTAAAAATTGTGAAATTCATGGCCCCTGCCCCCCTCGAGCCTCAGGGGTGGGGCCAAAACCATCAAAATTAATACAATCTTAACAAATCTTCTTCTTTACTCCTGGACATCAAGCAGTCAAACTGTTGACATGATTGTAATAAGCATAAATTGTGAAATTCATGGCCCCAGGGTCAGGGGTTCTGGCGCTAGGGTGGGGCTCTAATGATTATATAGTGAAAATGCATTAATTCTTTAAAAATCTTCTTTGCTCCTGGGTATTCAGCCGAAGACCTAAGTACACAGTTATGATGAGGAAGAGTGCATCTTTCAAAATTGTGAATTTCGTGGCCCAAGGGTCAGGGGACCTGGTTTTAGGGCGGGGCTCTATTGATTATATATAGTGAAAATGCATTAATTCTTTGAAAATCTTCTCTGCTTCTGGGTATTAAATAAAGTAACTAAGTACATAGTTATGATGAGCAAGAGTGCCTCTTCCAAAATTGTGAATTTCATTGCCCCAGGGTCAGGGGTTCTTGTGTTAGGGCAGGGCTTTATTGATTATATAGTGAAAATACATTAATTCTTTGAAAACCTTCTCTGCTCCTGGATATTAAATAAAGTAACTAAGTACATAGTTATGATGAGCAAGAGTGCCTCTTCCAAAATTGTGAATTTCATGGCCCCAGGGTCAGGGGTTCAGGTGTTAGGGCGGGGCTCTATTGATTATATAGTAAAATTGCATTAATTCTTAGAAAATTTTCTTCTCTGCTCCTGGATATTAAATAAACTAATTTAGTGCATAGTTATGCTGAGCATGGTTGCCTTTTCCAAAATTGTGAATTTCATGGTCCCTGAGTCAGGGGTTAGGGGTGGGGCTCAATTGATTATAAAGTGAAAATGCATTATTTCTTTGAAAATCTTCTCTCTCCTGGATATTAAATGAACTAAGTACATAGTTATGATGAGCATGGCTGCCTCCTCAAAATTGTGAATTTCGTGGCCCATGGGTGAAGGGTTTTTGTGAAAGGGCGGGGGTCTATTGATTATATAGGGAAAATGCATAAATTCTTTCAAAATCTTCATCTCTGCTCCAGGGTATTACTCAAACAAAGGAAGTGCATGGTTATGATAAGGAAGAATGCCTCTTCAAAAATTGTGAAATTCATGGCTCCTGGGTCAGGGGTTCAGGTGAAGGGGGGTCTCTATTGATTATATAGTGAAAATGCATAATTTCTTTCATTTTTTTTCTACTGCTGGTAATAAAACAAAGTAACAAGTGTTATGATGAGCAAGTTATGATGAGCAAGGTGCTTCTTCCAGAACTGTGAGTTTATGACCCCTGGGTAAGATGTTCTGGTGTAAGGGGGGGGGGGCTTTATTTATTTAATAATATAGTTGAAATGCATTTCTTTGAAAATCTTCTATGCTTCTTGGCATATTCGAGGCAAACAGAGTAAAATTTTGCAAGGGTATTTTTCCAGAATTTTGAACACCTGGATTATTTAGTCAAATGTTCTGGTCCTGACCAGGGCTCTATGAACTTGTATTCTGCTCAGCAAAGTTATTCCCCCTTGCCATTTACCTTTGATAATTAATCACTGTAAATAATGTATTTGAAAGGTTAATAGAATAAGAGAATTATGCAAGAATATTTATTGTATAAGTACTTTCATAGTTTTAATGATCAGGTAGACTTGGAAATAATAGATGAATAAAAGAGGGGCAAAAATAACTTATCTTTTTTAATGTTCTTCAAAGGCCAAGAGAGACAAATGTGAGAAGTAATAATACGGGGGTTAATAATAGACATTAGGTTAATAGTCTGCATGGTAATTTGATAAATGGGGGATATAGATTCTATACCAATTATTTTGTTGATGCTTATTGTACTATTTTTCTTGCTTTTGGGCAACAAAGGTTCATTTATCAGCTTATGGATCCTCTAAATTGTTGTATCGTACTCAGGTGACCGTTAAGGCCTCTTGTTTTGTCTTTCTTATACGATGAGAAAAGTAATATGTTTGCCTGCGCATTTACAGAGAAAAGAACTTTGGTTACTTTATACTTTGTATCGTATTGTATTGTATATATCAGAAAGTATTATATTTGTAATACATTTTTTATCCTTCACAACATATTTATTCCCATTTAATAATGCGATTTTGTTCCTTTGTTTCTCTTACCATAGCACCGTTTTATAAGGTTTAATATTCCGTTCTTATTACGTAACACATCCAATATACACAGAGCTTATTGACTTCAATCTCGGTGTTGACAATTAATGTTAATTTTTATGCCCCGGGATCGAAAGATCCCTGGGGTATATTGTTTTTGTCCTGTCTGTCTGTCAACTTTAACCTAGCCCATAACTATTGCGCTGTCAAGGGTAAGGCTTTAATATTTGACATGAGTGTTCATTATGACAAGACCTTTCCATTGGTACAGAAATTTTTGATCATGTGACCGCAACTGTGATCTTTGATCTACATTTGAAAAACTTAAAAATTGGCCATAACTATTGCACAGTAGTCTACGTCCCACTCCAGAATTGTGTTACCATCGGGGACATAGTGTTTCACAAAAACATCTTATTTTCTTTAATTCTACAGAGGACAGAATGTTAAACTCGTTGTCTTCTTCCGCTGATCTTTCTGGAATGTCATTCAGCACCCAAGATAGAGACAATGATGGATGGAGTACAGGTAGCTGTGCTTCTAAGTGGAGAGGAGGGTGGTGGATGAATGCTTGTTACGACGCCTTCCTCAACGGTCCCTGGGCTGTGGAAGACTGGGACGAACCATGGAATCCAATAATGTACGGGACCTCTATTACGGGGACGATGATGTTGATCAAACGTCTCTAGGTAAACAGCAGTCATTGTTTATTCGCGTAGTATTTATAAGTACAGTTTTTATACTTACATCATTTATACGTACAGTATTTATACATACATTATTGATATATTCCTTATTATGCATAAATTATTTTTAAGTACATTATTTACATTTTAATGATTTCCTGAAACATTTAATCTAATATGATTTTGCGTCATAAAATTCTACTTGCTTGAAATTTTATGCAATTTCCGAAGGATGAAATGTATATGTTTGTATTCTTGTAAATTTCTTAGATATATAATTCTTTATTTGTTCATACTCAACAGATTCGGATTATAAGAAGAAGCCACAGTTTGGGGCCCCGTGGACGATGGAGACACTTTTCTGTTTAAAGAGACACTTTCCTAATTTAAATTTATTTAAATTCATTAAATTCCTTTAAATTTGATTTTGACATTCTCGTATTATCATTTTCAAAGTAGAGTGTGGGGTTGGAAAGAAATTGACTGTAAAGCCCCCCCCCCCCCCCTTAAAAAAAAAAACAAACAAAAAATAGAAATTGAAGATGCCTTGTATGCTTTCACAATCAAAAATAACAAGCATTCTGAGAGTATTGCATTAGCAATACTAGTCCCCTACCAACAAGTGTAATCTGGTTCCCGTTAAGAATTGAAAATGCCATAAATCGGTCAAAAATCAATGAAGCGGGACGAAATGCAAACTTGATCTATAACTAATCAAGGTAAAGTCACTTACCAAAAATCAGCTCAATATCTGAAAGCGTTTAGAAGAAAATTGCGGAAAACCCCTAAAAATTGAAATGGCCGTAATTCCGTCAAAAATCAATGAAGCGGAACGAAATGTAAACTTGATCTGTAACTCATCAAGATGCACTCACATACCAAAATTCAGCTCAATATCTGCAAGCGTCTGCAAGAAAAGTGCGGAAAACCAAGTGGGACAGACTGACAGACAGACAGAGGGACAGACGGACAGGCAGACAGACGGACGGACAAACTCAGAGGAAACCTATAGTCCCCTCCGGTTTCACCGGTAGGGGACTAATAAATGAAAAGAGTACATACTCATAAAATATAGATGGGATAAGAGTTCTAATCCCTTTTTCAAGCAAAATTATATTTTGGAATACATTATATGGGAAGGATTGACCGAATTGCAAGAAAATGTATATGTGTGTTGGGGAAGGATTACTATATACAAAAAATCGAAAGGGAGGCTAATGGCCTTTTAATGAACTTTTCATTCTAAACAGTAAAACATAAAAAAGGGGGGTGGGCACCACCTCCGCGATATTACGTGCCTGTTATTATAGCTTATTTTTTTAATGTTCTATATTCTAATGAATTCTACTTATGTGTAAGTGTTGTTAATAAACTATGCACTAGAAATATTTTGTTGTAATTTTCAAATTCTGCCACATGGAGATACTGTATCTGGACTGATATACTTTAAAACGTATTATCAAAGATCTTTACATACATAATTATGTATATTTTTGTCCTTTATGATCATTTTCTAAAGAGAAGTCTATTTCCCGTCTTGAATAGTTTTCTCCTATATATATATATATATATATATATATATATATATATATATATATATATATATATAAAACCCCCTACATTATAAGCCATTTATGCGAAGGAATAGGCTTTCACTTTACCTGCTTTTCATTATGAGGCTTCCTTACGGAGGTGCATCATCGCAACTCTGAAAAAATTAGCAAAGTCATTAGTATCTTAGTGCGTGTTGCATTGAGAACCACAACCATATTCCAGTATAATGGTCCTGTAAGTATACGTAATCAATTATAAAAATATGGTTTTGGTTTTCAATGCAACACGTAGTGAACTAGAAGGTTAAACAACATAACCCTAAAACATTTTCCCATATACTTAAAGCGACAGTACGGCTGCAAAATGTGTGCTTTTTCATTCAAATTTACCCAATATGTCACTAAGAAATAAGGAATAAAGTTAATGTAAGCAGTTTGAAAAACAGAAATATTCTCTACTCAAACAAAATTAACGTAATTAGAATCTGCCGGAAAATCAAGGGTCGTACGAAGTGGAGCAATCTTAGATCTGTTTATTTGTACCACGTGAATTCTAAAACGACACGTGCCTACACTGTAGAGTTTACAATATAATGGATATTAAGTAAAAGCAATTCTCAAAAGCAAATTATCATAACTTTCTGATAAAATAATCTAAAATAATAATCGTAAAGATTTTTTGTCTGCTTTCAGGCGAATTTAACAGAATTAAAAGTACAAATGTTGACATTTTGTGTATTGGGGTCCGAGAAAGGAAAAACCAACTAATCATACGTTATCGCGGCAAATGTCAAACAAAATGTTTTTCTGCACAGTTAAACAAATTAGCACTTCAAATGGCAACAATGTTTGTAAGTCAAAGATGTATTTTTATGTTGAGTTTACACTATTTCTTTTTCTTTGAAAGCGATGGAAAAATGAGAAATGATAACAAGTATCAACAAACCTGTCGAATAGAACCTTCAAGAGCCCAGCACGAGTGTCGCCGAGTTCCCGTTTCTTCCTTATCCAGCGATTATATTAATCCCCAAACTAAATTTTAGTCAGGAAAGTTGCTTTTCCAAGTTCTATTTTCAGTTTCCTTTTCTTTTTGGTCGACTTTGTCAATGTAGCAGGCCTACCGGGCTTCCCTCTCTAACCATGCTGTTTTGTTTATGAAAACTACGCATGCGTGCATAGCATGGAATGTGGAACCCCGATCACGTTGCGATATATATATTTACGTCCCATAAATAACTATTAATTTTAACGAAATAATCAAAATTATTTAATTGTGACAGTTGTAATTTTCAGAAAGTTTATACATTTATGAGCAGTAAAAAAATACCAAATCTTGTCGGAAAATTTTATCAAGTCAGTTTTTTGATGAGATGCGCCGTACTGTCACTTTAATGTTAAAGTGGTAGAGGGTACCACATTTTCATCGTTTTTTCCAATATTATCCTTTTTTCTCGCAGAAAATATACAGCGCAAAATTATACATGTTAAAAATAAAAGAAAATAGGTTTAAGCTCTGACAATCCAATTTTATTTTTCGCAAGAACATGGGCCAAAAAACAGCCTTATGGAGACCTCATATTTAATTACCTGTTTAACAATATATTTTCAATGTTCACTCGATTACTTGATATGGATAGCCATTTAATTCAGAGTGTAAAGGGGGGTGTTGGTGGTGTTGCAAGTTGTGTTCAATAGCAAAAGGTTATTTTTTATGCCTTTACAGAGCAAAAGTTGTAGCAATCAAGGTATTTTCTTACCAGTGGAGGACATATTATTTTTCGAAATTTTCAAATGCAAAATATTTCCAAAATCTTTCAGCCCTTCTCAGAATCAAATGATTACATCATATTAGAATAAATCAAATGTATGTGTGTTTGTGAAATACACACTCTCTCTCAAAGTGCTAAATATATATCTTCACTGACCTAGAAACATATTATGTATTTTATAAATGTCTGTAGTTAATTTTCTTTATAAATGGATTTGCATAATAGTATCAACTTACTCGTGCAATACACATATTCTGGACATCTCCGACATCAATATGCTTGTCTAAACCCTTGACGTTTTGGATGCCTCGATTTCCTTGCCTTCTTCTTGTTATCATAAATTTATACACCATAGAGAATGATATGGTGGGAGGTTTGAGATCGTCTGTTATTAACTGATAATGGACTGCATTAAAAGGAGGCAAGTTTTCCTTAAACTGCATGTCAGCGGGATTAACGGAGGATGGCAATTGCTCAACTGGAGTTATAAGTGCTGCTGGTATTTGACTGGATAATATGTCACATATAAGATCCGCAGGTGAGTAAAGGCTAGGTATAGGCATTTCTATGCAACAAAAACTAGTTAAAATGCCTAAGGACTATATCTAGTATACAGAAAAACTTAAAACTTATTGTCTAATACATACTTGATATCCATGGCATTAGATAGCCAATACACATTATGACGTCATTGTTCTTTACTACACACTATTATAATGAACATCAACAAAAATGCTTCGGCGCAAGGGCATGCTCTATTTAATTAAACTGAAACAAGGTCTATTTAGAAGCAAAATATTCCAACGTTTGCCTGTATTGCTGCAGAAATATCAACAGTTCAGTTGTTTAATTTCTATTTGTAAAGCTTAAATCAGTGTAAAATGTACAGTCCGGTGTAAGTTTCCTCAAATTCCGATCAAATGAGAAAACCTCGGATTTGTGAAGCACTTTTAATAATCTGTAGAATAATTTTCTTAGAATTATATAATTTTTATGTATAAATAAATAGGGTAATCCCTTGCGCCGAAGCTGTTTTGTTGATGTGTTTTATTACCTCCAGTAGGTACGATAAATGACGTCATAACATGGCCGTAGGAACCGGGGGGGGGCGTGCCACGCCCCCCCCCCCATAATTTTGCCGATATATAGATTACTATAGTAAACATAGATAATGTGTGCTTGTGCCCCCTCAATAAAAACGTCTGATGCCCCTTTTTTTTTTGTTTGTCAGGAAATTTTCGGTAGTGCCCCCTCAATGTCAACTGAAAAATGTATGGCTGTGCCCCCCCCCCCCCCCAAACTGAAATTGCTTCCTACCGGCCTGCATAATGTGTACTGCCTTGAACATATCGTGGGTACTAAGTATGCTTAAAAATAATAAATCAAAACATTCTTTGAATATACCCCTTACGCGTATTTATTAGCTCAGTTGCATAGAAATGCCTATACCTATTCTTAACGCACATGCGTCATCCTTTCATCCCCAGTTCAGCTGCTATGCTACTCAATACATTTGCGTTTGTTTTTCGCTGGTCGCCATACTGTTGTAACTCGTTGCCATTGTAAACAAGATAACGATAAACAGGCTCGTACATAAATGATTGATTGTTTGTATGTTGGTTTACGTCCCATTTGAGCATTTTTCACTTATATAGAGATGTCGCCATATACCGGTGAAGGG